ATTTTTTTTTCTCACCATATTTCACTGCATTACCGCAGTAGGGCAGGACTAGAACGGAACATATGCGATCCATGCGAGTAGTCCACCCATTAAATCCCACCCATCCCACCCCAGGGGAGGACATCCATCACACAGTAATCTCGTGCGTGAGAAATTAACGTCTCCTACCCCTAACCTTGTAGGAGACGGGACCTCCATTTATTCGTCCCTCTCCGAGAAGACTAGAATATATAACCATTACTTGATGTTATAGAAAGGTAGCATAGTCCTCTCAATTATTTTAAGACCTTGAGTGTTGGTCCGGCCGGGGCTTGAACCCTCAACCTCCCGCACAACACTCCAGCCCTCTATCTATTGAGCTAACCGGGAGGCGCCGTGATGGTGGATATCTTTGGTCCACCAAGATGCCGGCCGGAAATAGAGTAAAACATCTGGAACTTAATTTTGCTATCTAGCCCCCTGATTATCTAAACTAAACCAACAAAAATGCACAAAGACACTTTTTTTCTAATACACAATTTCAAAAAAAGGCTAAAAATCAGCAGATAGGTGTATATTTTTTTGACAAACGCGATCGGAGCTGTAAGTCACGCAATCATCATAACTCTGAACTTCAAACTGCGCTGATTTCCAAACCAAGCACGCTATTGAGCTGAACAGTTTGCAAATAGATGCAAGTTTAGATTCCCTATGCTTAATATGGATAAAAATTCTTGTGGCTCTATATTTTTGAATTTTTGAATTTGAAGATGTCACGTGAAAATCAGCAGTAAGTTCCCTAGCGAGACGAAATGCAAATCTGCAGAACAACCGCAAGACTCTGCACTGGCTGAATCTGTTTATTCTTGGAAATTAGCAACTCTACCCTCTAAGAACTGCTTAAAGTGCTCATGACAAGAATTTTTTTTTTGCGTATTTAGTTCGTTCATCACATATTAAAACTAACTCTGATAAAAGAAGGATTTCAAAAAAATTTACTATCGGTTTTTCAGGCCCTAAAGTGCTCTAAATTTGTCTTAAAAGTGTCTAATAGACTGGTGACGAATCAGCGAGTGATGACGTTCAACCTGTGAATACCCTCAGTTGACTCCTAAAAATTTCTCATATCTCTTGCAATTTGTAATAGTTCACGTTGAAATACTCCTGAAATAATGTCCGATAGCGAAGTATATCTACTCTCAGCGAGCTCTACTGAGAGTTGTGATACATTGTACTCGAGTATTAACGAAGAAATGGAAGTTGCGAGTCTGTTTTAGCCCTTCGAAAGGAGAACCGCGTGCATCAGACGAAGATTTCGACTGACAAAGACGATCTCTCGTCTGTAGTGTTTAGGTCAAGATTATAACAGTAAACTTACGTTATGAAATGTTTAGTTCCTTGTGTTTTTTTATTTTTGTTTTGTTTTTTTCGTTTTTTGTGACGAAATCTATTATATGGTAAGAATGGGTGGCTGAGTTGGTTTCTTTTGCCATAAAATACAAATATTCCATCGTACTAAGTACGGCGAAGGCTTCTCTTTGTCAGGGCCTTAGAGTTTCGTTACTCTTAAGTAATTCTCTTAGAAAACAAAATGCTAACTTTTGATAGTAGCATCAAAAAAATCTGCTGTATCACCAGACGCAAGGGTCTTTCGCCAAGAATTCATTGGGCAATTTTACTGCAAGTTGAAACTTTCACATAGTGCTTGAATTGGATTCGCACTACTGCTTGTGTTTCACAATTTATTTGGTTGAACTGCTGCTATTAGAATGACATTGCTATTGTTGATATATCCTTTTAATTTTAGGGCAAAGATGAATTCATGTCTCGAGAGTCGGATTTTCGTACGCTTAGGTTGGGAGAATACATGTCCCCTTCGAGCTAATGTTTTGACCAATTTCTACCAAAGGTTTCGCGCTGTTTGGGCAACAGGATATGGGTCACCTCAGGAAGGGGTTTATTTTTATTACAAATGATGTATAGCTATAAAATACGATGAAAATTACAATTAGCAGGATTTTTTTGCGACAAGAAAAGTGTAAATGTTCTCATAATGAAAGACAAGGGGTATGAGTACATCTCAAGCGCGTGAAACAAATAAAAATAGGAGGCTCACCATTCTTCGCTTGCGAAATATCAGACCAAAAAGAATGTGGAACAATTGTATCCCATTTGGGAACAGGCCCCTTAGTCAGCATTATTTTTTGCTTGATTCATTGGCCATTTTCCTCTGATTTGACGGCTGGTATGTAATTTTTAGACCACTGTGATGACGAATATTGTAGTCGATAAAAGTATACAGACCAAGCTATCAGGCTACACAATTGTCGATTAGAACAGTACTTCAAAGAGGCTATTAAAAGCTTAATTTAAAAAGCCATGCTAAATTCACGATAAATTATTTTTCAGTACCTTACAACCCACCTTTTGGTTAAGAGAACATGATGATTTTGAGTAGACAACAGGGACGAACCATCTGCCTGAGCCTGTTGCTTTTTATTCTCAGTGGAACAGCGGGATATCCCTCGGGACTTGAAATTACTGAAGTGACATTCTGTGGTAAGTTTCAGTTTTATGCTATCCTGTGATATCATTGGTCTAGACAAAAACAAAACAAACTGATGAAGCAGAGAGAGGATTGGGACGATACTTATCCTTACATATGATGCACGATCCTTCGCAGTAGATAGCGCTATTTATGCAATAGCGAAAATCAGACCTGAAAAAAATCAGACCTGTTCGGGATTCGAACCACTGACCTCTGCGATACTAGTGCAACGCTCTACCAATTGAGCTAACAAGCCAACTAGGAGCAGGCCGTTAAGTTGATTAGTAATAAACCTGTGACGACAAATCAGATACAATGAATACATGAAGTTCATATATTTTGAACTGCGGTATTAAATACGTATGATGCACGATCCTCGCAGTAGATAGCGCTATTTAAGCACTAGCGAAAATCAAACCTGAAAAAAATCAGGCCTGTACGGGATTCAAACCACTGAGGTCAGTGAACTTCATATATTCATCGTATCTGATTTGTTATCACGGGTTTATTACGAATCAACTTAACGGCCTGCTCCCAGTTGGCTTGTTAGCTCAATTGGTAGAGCGCTGCACTAGTATCGCAGAGGTCAGTGGTTCGAATCCCG